TAGATTAACAAACTTTGATCTTTCAAGATGCTCTGTCATTATTTAGAGACATGAAGGAGACAGGGTGCCTTGCCATGGAAATTTAAAGATAGTAAGAACAGAATATCACAATATCTACAGAAAAATATCTTTGGAGTAGTGAAACCAATTTGCAAAGTATGATATGTGTGGTGCTTAAACTTAAGTCACTGACTATGTTTACATGGAGACCAACATTTTGATATTAACCCGATTGGGCCAATAGTCTGAATAAGACATTGTCATGCAAAACCCATTTCTGATTACCTTAACCCAAATAAGTCTAACCTAGGACAACCTATAATCGAATATTCTGAACGTGTATGTATAAATTGTGTGTACATATTGCATATACACTTCTTGATTGCATTGTAGCGTCGTATTGAAGTTTTCAATGCATTTTTACCTTCTAAAATGATAAAGACGTCATAATGGACATGGCTCACAAAATGAACACAGGGAGGACAACACAGCAAGAACAAAAACAAAAGAGATTTTTGATAGTAGTAAAGAAAGAAAAACAAGAAACAGGAAGAATATGTCCTATGTAAACTGAAATGAAAATGTTAGACACGGGGGAAAAACACATCCAAACAACGAATCTAAATGAAGAAAATTGAGGATGTAACATTTTCCAGTGAAATGTATTTTTGCAATAACACACATTCTTTATTACTACGCTGGGAAGAAAATGGAAATAAACACTGAAATGTATTCTTGGCTACCAGGTCTGGTAAAAGAACAGAAATGGATGGGGAACAGTGGAATAATGCTGGTGTGAAATGGGAACATTCTGTCCATGCTGCAACACTGACTGGTTTTTACCTCCCACAGCAGCCTGCTGACACACAGAAACCCTGAAGAAAGACGGATGTCAGTACAGGGAGAGAGAAAGAAACAGAGTCACAAGAAGGTTAGCTAGTAAGAAAAGCTGGAGCACATCCACACATCACCGTGACCACAATCATTTCAAACTATACAGTGTGGCTCTCAGTCTTTTTTAAAACCAGATCAGAGGAACTCCAGGAGAACTGATTCAGTCTCTCCTCTTATCACCTGTAATGCACTTCTATTAATTAGTATTGGCAGGAGTACGTAATTGTGTGTATACTAGTATTTTTCCCCAGATGGCTTGCTGTACAGTATTCAGGGTATTTTATTTTTCTTAAGGAAATCAGTCTACTAATATATTGTGCATGCTCATGTTATCTTGAATAAACAAACATAACTTTTCACTATTGTATCTTTTAGTCTACGGTTATACACATGTCTTTTAAAACCTGTGTTTGGATCTAGGGATTTGGACATCCCTCACATAGTTGTAAATATAGTTGAAACCATTCTGTTCCATCACACCTGTGGAGGATTTGTAGATGCAATTTAACTCAGCCGCAGGCAACACGCACATCAATATGCAACATGCACTGCTGCATGCATAATGAATTGCCCATTATATTTGCTGTACTAGCCTTCAGTGAGTCTCAGGACTCTCTTATTTATTCAAAAATCACTTCAGCCATGGTTTAAATGCTCATATGGATGTGTAAAAACAAACCACAGGTCCAGTACCTGCCACTCTCTGAGCTGTTGGCTTCAGTCTGTCACGTAGGTTCAGACAGATGGTTTTGATGTGGAATCCAGGTGGTTTTATTGAACTAGCAAAGGTTTCATCAACTTCCAATTAAAAGATGAAAAGCCTTTAAAGTATTTGATATAGCACTGTGACCTAACGCGGTTGTGATGAAACATAGAGGGCAAGAAAAGAAAAGAGACAGTAAAGACAGAGTGGGGAGACTGAACAAACAGATCTTTTCAGACAGAGAAAAGATAAATAGAGACAAAGCATGGTAGAGAGTATGAGATTTAGTGATTCATTCTTACTACAGGGCACAGATAGGCTTTGGGTTGAGCTAGCCTATGGGCATTTTCACACCTGGAAGTTTAGACCATGGTCTGAACCAAGGCTCATGCCTTTATCCCATTGTTTACATTTGATCTGTTTAGTTTTGGTTTCATGTTGTAATTTACGGAGCAAATCAAAGACTTTTGTATGACTCACATAACTCCTGTCATCCCCTATGTGGGCTGCATCTACCTATACTTGACATTGATTGATTTGTAAATGGGTGTGCGTCTGCCGTTGTTTGGGTGGACAGTAGTCTCATTGTTTGTGTTGCCAATGAAATATGATTATGTTACTGCCACCAAAATGAATGTCCTCTGCATTTAAAAATGATATGATCGGTGGGGAAAACTACAAGCAATTTTGTAGAACGCTCCTGCTTCTTTTTCTTCTATTGTTTGACGTTGTCTCAACTTCCTGCAATTACTCTGAAAGCCTGAACTATCCAAACAAACCGAACCATGGTTTAGTTTGATCTGGACCAAGAGCACTTGTTTTTGGCCTGGACTGTGGTCTGAGGCATGTTGGACACCTGTTACTTTGGTTCAGGAAAAATGTCAGAATGTCCAGACCAACCAAGGTAGGTGTCCAAGCCCCTAACCTCGCCGAATGTAGACTGTGAGTTTAACCTGCCATCGAAACATTAGGCAGCATTCTCCTATTTTTCTACTTCCTGCAAATGTCTCTACATGTGTATCCACTTGTACACAATACGCATCATGTCCTGGTTTTAGAAAACTGGATGTGAGAAACTTCAAAATGTAAAGCAGAGTGCCCCAAATGAAACTGTGATAGTGTGGCATGTAAACACCTGAATAAAGAGCTTAGAAGGTAACCAGGTAAAAATATGAGGCTGTATGATGCTTTTAGCTGGAGGTGCTGTGACAAACGTATCCTCTCTTCCAAGATTTGAAGTGTTAGAAACACTACAGGACTTTCAAAACCCATTCATGCCAATCCAAATAAAATAAGCTTTTATATTATTTTAACTGTGTAAGTTACTGGTTAATTGTTTATTTGCTGCATGAACAGAATGTGCTGTTTTGTGAGCATTAAGCTGGATGGGTTCACCCCTTGTTTCATGTAAATCAGGATATAATTTTAATTTAATACATCACTTCCTGCCTCTGCTTGCCGCACCCAGTTGCTCCACCTATCACCTGAATAATGTGAAAGATTTGCTACTGTTGTGAATGCGTCTCTGCAGAGAACCTCTCGCTGGGTTGTGAATGTGTGAAAGGCAAACTCAAGACAAGCTCTGGGTAAACTCCAGACCAAATGCTCTGGAGTCTACCCAGAGTTTTCCTAACAGCTATAAAGAAAACAAAGGCAAAAGGAGACTCAGCTAACCTGAGGTCGACATCAATCAAGAGTAATCATCATCAATAATCAAACTGCAATCGTGCTGTTTCTTATTTTCTACATTCAACTATACTTCTTCATTCTGATTTTGCTGAACATGCTAGATGGCTTTGACTGTTAAATGTGGATCTAACAACCTGACATGATTAATTCTGTTTGGTGGTCGATTCCCACTGCCTGGGATTACCACAGTGCAGTGAAGCCTTAGACAAGAGCTCAGTAGGGATTTTCTGATACACTCGGGTATTCACGCAATGCTGATGAAACCAGCCAAACACGCTTCATTAGCACTGACTCTGCAGTACATGGAAAAGAACACATATATATAAGAGCATAGTGTTTCGGATACGTTAAGTGATGTTTTTATGCAGGATTTGTTGTTGTGTTTAATGCGCGTCTCCGGCATTATTATTTTTAAGTTCTCCTTAGTGTGATTTGGCTTCAGGACATTCTGTGCCAATAGGTTGAATTTAAATAAATAATCTGCTTTTTTGCTCTACTGTACAAAGCAGGTAGAGGGTGCTGTTGTATTGAAAGCATAAAACTACAGCTCTCACTGCATCTCAGACAATCCTCAGTAAGCAAGGGGAGTGGGGGGGCAGGAAGTGATGGGATTTAAAGGACATGTCTGAGTTTGATAACATTCAACAAGACTGAGATTTCAAAACGGCCTCAGCCATGCAACTGTGGCTTTCTTTTTAAGTATATATATATATATATATGCACACACACACACACACACATATATATATTTTTATGTGATCAAAAATAATGACTACTTTAATTTAAAAGAAGTTCAAGTAGAATGTAATACATTGATGTTCATAGACCAAATAGAGACACTTGCCTTGACAGCTGCGCTGACGGCGGCAGTGGCTGCGATGCTCAGTCCCTGCTTGCCAAAGTTCACCATGGTTTCATAGCTTCTCTCTTTGGCCTGCACAATGTACTCATCTATTTCCTGGAGGGATATTATCAGTTAACACTTTTCTAATAAACAGTTCAAATCAATATATACACATATGGACACACAATCAAGTATCCAGAGGTAGCAATAGAGGGATGGATGAGTGAGCTTACCCTCTCTCTGGAGGACAGCAGTGGGTGCAGACACTTTCTGTAAATGAGACTGGCTCCTCTGGTGTAGGGGGACAGCAGCCATATCACAAAGGCTATCTTCAGCTCATAGTACAGAGGAAACCTGGAAATGTGCACACAGACAGAAGATGCATCCCATCATTAATGAGGGTTGATATTGACGTAGTCATTAGTATTTTTGGGGATGAGACCACAGCCGGCATTTAAACCACAAACTGGAGGAAAGGTTGCACATTAATCTACACTAAACAATGCATAATGATAAAGTTACATTTTCTCCTATTTAAAACAGCATCCTGGCACCTTGCTGTGTTATTATGCTTCCTGTTAGCTTCAATTATCCTTAAAAAAAAACTGAAGTTCAGCAAGCTCCCTGTAGACCTCTACTATAAAATTTTGAAGAGGCATAGATCAGGGCCTGTAAAGCCCTGTGTTCTCATGAGCACACAGGCCTCAATAACTGTGAAACAGAAGAAGGTTGGAACCAGCGGGGCTCTTTCTAGTACCATCAGCGTAGCACTACATCAATCAGGTCTTTATGGTAGAGTGGCTAGACAGAAGCCACTGTGAGTCAAAGACAAATGACAGACCACTTGGAGTTTGTCAAGCAGCATTTGGAGGACTGAGAGAATATGAGGACAAGGATTACCTGGTCTGATGAGAATGACAGTTTTCCCTTTGAGCAGAACTGAACAAACATTATGCCCGGTGAACACACTAACATCACTGATACCGTCCATGCTGTGTGTGTGTTACTCATGTTGTGGGGACCTAAATCTGTTTACAGAGTCACATTGTGGGGACCCATAAGTCCCTATTAGAGATGAAACGGTATGAACTTTTTGTTTTTATCTTTATAAAAACTCACTGAATCCATATTTATGGACTTCTTCTGCAACTATGAAGTTACAACACAGCACTGCATCATAATCTGCTGGAACTTCTGCCTGCAGGAGTATGCGCGTGTGTCTGCTTGTCGCAAACTGACGTTATGTTATTAATCGATATGTCCGATCATGAATCCGGATAGTTCCAGGTCACAATAACCCTGATGTCCTAGCCGAGCGTTTCTCGTGTTGTCACACAAGTGGAAATCATGCCACAGCATAAATGAAGAATGGCTACAGTATTTTAATTAACTGACTGATTAAATTATTCATCAGGATATTAATCTATTAATCAATTTATCCTTTGGTCTATGAAATGTCACAAAATACCAATAACCCAAGTACTTAAATTGCAAAGCCAAAATTCCACCTCAGTCAGACCCCTATATTCAACTTCACAGAGGACACTTTCACATATCCTTCACACATGCAAATAACAAACCCACATTACATGCTGCGCCAGAGCGCATGGGTGTGGGACACTGTTGCTCATTGTGGTTGACGCTGAACAGTTTTTACCATGAGCTTTACACCATGGCAATCAACCGTGGTTACAATAATTCCCAATTCACACACTAATGCTAACCATGGGGAATTTTACAGAGGTTAATCGCAAAACCGGCAACCATTTCATCCCTAGTGTGTGCGTGTATGTATGTGTGTGTGTGTATGTATGTATGTATGTGTGTGTGTGTGTATGTGTGTGTGTGTGTGTGTGTGTGTGTGTGTGTTCATATTTGACTTAAACTCACCATGCTACTGTTAGGTCAGCGATGGTCTCCACCACAGTGTAGAGGGCAAAAACAATCCAGTACATCATCCATCGCACCTACACAGAGAGAACAATGAAAAATGAAGCTGCACCGACATTTGTACTTAAGAAAGTCACATTGCAGACACTTGAACCACTGAGAAGCTGAGAAATGGAGAAAAACTCATTGTGTCCTGGAGTCATCTATTGAGTGAGCATACTCATTATGGTCAATCCCTGAGGACTGATGACTAACTTAAACCTTTTTACACTTTGTGGGGCCAAAGGGTTAAATTACTTGAGGCTTGTGTGGTAATTTCTCTTTTCCATTATCTTGTATTCTGTCCCCTCTCAGGCCAGGGATGCTGAGGTGATGATACTATATCTATTTTCCTTTTTTTGTTTTCTGCCGTGTACCCTACTCTCTCTTTGAGGGCTTTCCTAGCTCTTCAGGCTGGATTTCCATATCAAAGCCAGTGGTAGGTGGTGGCAGGCAGACAGTCATATGGCATGCTGAGGTATTAGCCTGACCTAGCTGCAGCTGCATGACTGAACACAGACTGACACTACCAAACGTAGTGCTCATTTATACAACCTGTTTAAGGCGGGATCGTGTCTATCGCCATACTGTATGAAGGTACGAAAACAGAATAGTGGGGGTTACTGTTGTTTCACCTTTAGGCCAACAGCAGAGGGAGTCACAGTGCTGGATCAATGTCATTGTTAAAGGGAGAGCGGACATGGTGGGACACACACACACACACACACACACACACACACACACACACACACACACACACACACACACACACACACACA